AAGCAGTGAAAACAATGGTTGCTGTATTTTGAGATAAGGGCTGATAGAGAAGGAGGGACTTGGTAGTAAAAGTGAAGCCGATTTAGCATTTAGCTGCAAACTGATATGTGCCACCATGGGCATGGATGGAAAATATTTGCACATGAGCAATATTAATTTATCCATTAATATTAATGGATCCCAAAGATCAACTTTTTGATTTGTTGAAGAAGCAGGGTGAAAGTAGTATGTATAATTTTTGACTAGAGACTACTAGGAAATAATAGTATTTATTTGTAATAGTAGTATATAATTATCTAGTAAGTATTTCCCAGGCATAAAAGACTCCATCCTCCACCATGGGATACTTTTTAGTACAGGTGTTGTTGACATCCATTTTTAGTAGACAAGATAGTGATTGTCAGCATGTCTAAAAACCATCTAGACACCCTACATAGAAGACTCATAAATATAAGCACACAGAAAAGCTGAGAGAAAAGGACAGAAAAAAGCTTCTCATATGTATCCACTCATACAAGCTGAGGTAGCTTGTACAACTGAGGGAGCTTTAATAATATCACACAAACTGGAATTCAAGTCAAGAAGTATTGCTAGACGTGCTATGATAAAAGACTGACATAACAACACAAACTGTCTTTACATCTAATGATCCTGCCTCAAAATATATAAAGTTTAAAAAGCAAATATGACAGAATAATCTTTAGAAAGCATATTAAAAAATCCCCAGGGAGGCAAAAGAAGACATTGAATCTATACAACAAAAAAGAAATATTAAAAAAGTCTCCAAGAAGGAAAAAAGAGCTCTTAGAAAGCAAAATAGACCATTGTTTAACAAAACTATTATATATTGAAAATGTAAATAATGAAATATTTTGCAAATATTAAACACTGTCAAAACAATGGCTAATAGGAAATAAAGTATTAAAAAATTTAGAGATCAATCCAGGAGGTTTGGTATCTATTAATAGAAATTCCAGAAAGATAGAGCCAAGAAACATGTGTACATGTTTATCAGTTATTATTGAAATCAGAAAAGATTTCTTAACACTTAACTACTTTATTTTCCAACCTGGAAGCTGCACACCAACAATCTATTAGGATGAATGAGTACAAACCACACCAAGGCACTTAATCTGAAGATTAGAAGAATATCCAAGATCCCTCAGCTGGAGAAAACTATCCATGTTCAAATATCAAAACTCAGAACTGCTAACAGCAGTCCTGGAAGCCAGAAGCCAAACCAACCGTATGGGCAGAGTAACTACATTTTAGGATAAGATTAATTTCAAAAAAATGTATCTGCCTTGTCCCTTTCTCATGAAATGACTTGAGAATATTGCTCCAGTAAATGAGGGATAAACTATAGGAAGGGTTTCCTAGGTGGCACAGGATAAAGAATCCACCTGCCAATACAGGAGATGCAGGCTCGATCCCTGGGTCAGGAAGATCCCCTGCAGGAGGAAATGGCAACCCACTCCAGTATTCTTGCTTGGGAAATCTCAAAGACAGAGCAGCCTGGCGGGCTACAGTCCATGGGGTTGCAAAGAGTCAGATACAACTTAGCAACTAAACACATCAACACAAAGCTGTAGGGAGGAAACAGGATCCTGGAAACAGTGTCTAACACAGGAGAAAAGCTCAAAGGGCAGCCGAGCGGCCAGCCCGACAAGGATCCAGTCTGGACTGGAAGGGCTCTCCAGGAACCCCAGGAAGGATGTGCTGTGGGAAGAAGCCAAGAGAAGGACACTTGAGGGGTTTGGCTCCTCTATGAGGGTGTCTGGAGGGACTTTTCCATGGAGAGTTTGGAAGAAATGCCAAGGGGTGCAGAGAGATGGATGAAAAGGAACAATTAACTCCAGAAAAGCAGAAGGTGACCAGTAGGCCATGTAATCACAGCGTGAGGGTGAAGAGCCGCAAAATTGGACAAATTGGCCTGGACGAGTGTGGATTGCAGCGGAGGCTGTGTAACCCTAGACCAGAATGATGGGCGAGTGGTCAGGGAGTGGGGTGGTGTGAAGTTAGTCTGTCTTTTCTGTAATAAAATATCAGTTGGAAATGTTTATTTTGCTTAATTTATAAATGACATGGTTTGTGGAGATAAGTTACAGAAAAAAATGCTCAAAGAGTGAAATGTCATTGGCTGATCAAGTTCCCAGGATCAGTCTGGCCATGCCCTTTGCCTCTTTAAGCTGCTGTATTCGTTCCACAGGGTGGACATAACAAGCCACCACAGATGGTGTGCCATAAACCACAGAAATCTATAAACCTATTTCTCAGTCTGGAGTCTGGACTTTCGAGGTCAGGGTGTGGGCAGGGCAGATTCCTCCTGAGGCCTCTCTCCTGGGAGTATCCGTCTCCTCCCTGTGACTACATGGTCATCCCTCTGTGTGTGTGTCTGTGTCCTTGTCTCCTCTTATAAGGACCCCAGCTCTACAGGATCAGGGTGCATGCACCTGACCTCATTTTACCTGAACCACCTCTTTACCTGAATCAACCCCATTTCCAAATACAATCACATTCTGGGGTTCTAGGGGTCAGAATTTCAACAATTTGGGGGGACACAGTTCAGCTCATAACACAGGCCCATGTATGTGCTCAGTCGCTCAGTGTCGTGGCTGACTCTTTGTGACCCCGTGGACTGTAGCCCACCAGGCTCCTCTGTCCATGGAATTTTCCAGGCAAGAATACCAGAGTGGGTTGCCATTTCCTTCTCCAAGGCCCACGTATAACTCTGCTAAAAATAAAAATACTAACTATAGTAGCAAGTGAATGTATTTATCAAAACACATCAAATTATACCCTTAAGTGTGTGTATTACATTGTATGCAAATCATCCTTCGATAATATTGATTTTAAAAGTATGTGCATGGGAGAATTTGAGGAGTAAGACTGTATTTGAACTAAGTACTATTTAAGTAAACCTAGAGGCATCTTGTCTTTGGATTGTCATTGTTAAAATCACCTAGACTAAGAAAAGATAAATTCTATATTCCTGGTTAAGTAATTGAAATTTTAGGACCCTGTTCACCCTCTTTTTTATTATGCATTTTTATTTATTACACACACACACACACACACACACACATCTGTTCTGAGCAGGAAGGAGAGAGGGTAATGGGAAATTTATCAGCTGTCAAACACACCCTCAGGAGGGGAGACAGACATGGAGGGTGGAGGCGGCAGGCCACTTATCCTAGCTGGTGCCACCTCCATCTCAGACTCACCTGTTGCATCCCTACCTATCTATCAGTATCAGTCACTGTCGATTCTCCCCCTAGAGACTCCCAGTGTACACGGAACGGCTCTGCCCTGCTCTGGATCTGGCATCTGTAATGGAAGTCACAGGGCTGTGGTTTCTGTGACGTGCCCTTTTCATCCATGGTGTTATCTGTCTTAAGTCCTGGAACTGTAACCTCGAGCGTCTGCTCCGTGCAGGACCCTGCCGATCGCCCCCTGAACGACCCAGCGTGGCCCTGTGGTATTAAAACGATAGCAGGTTTCACTTATCAAAAATGTGTCTTAGTGCTGCTGATAGCCCGAAGAAGGAAAGGCGTAAACACTGAGAGCATAGTTCAGCTCCCTCGCTGACAAGCCCTGGAGCCTTGGCAAGACTTTGTTTTTTTCCAGCTGGAAAGTAACTAATGAAATAGTTTGGGGCTACAAGGGCTCAATGTCAAAGCCTTTCCCTTTTCCTAGTTCAGTCATATCGAGTCATATTGAGCTGGAACTTCCCACCAGCAGTAAGTGTGTTCATATACTGATTAGAAAAAAGAATACGTACTGTAGAGGTGGTCAAGTCAAACATTTGCTCAGTGAGCTGCAACTTAGGGAGGACTTTAGGATAAACCACCCTCCTGCTTTTTTCCTCCAGTGACTTTTATTGACATGGTTGCAATTCTGAATACTTTAATTTCTTATAAATTTGAGAAACGTCTGCCCAAGAACCATTGAATGGCTATATTTTGAAGTCAGTTTACTCAATTCATAAATAAGAATGTGCTCCATCAATGTTCTATCCTCTTGCTCCTTGTGGAGACAGGTTTCTCTCCAGCTAGTAGTTGTTTTGAAAAGTAACCAATCTATCCTTTCAGTTTTCCCAGCTCTCTGCTTTATCTGTCATCATGGCCAGAATGAAAGAGGCTCAAAGGCTGAGTAGACTAAGATGGAGAAGGATAAGATGGGTTTTTTCCCAAAATATAGTTGTAATAGTTAACACTTGAATACACAATTACTGTGTATTGTCTCAGATAAATACCAAATCAATGTGTGTAAATATTACTATTTCCAGTGTTCAAAAGGGGAAACTAAAATATAAACATTTTAAGGCCCCTAGCCAAGAATACATAATTATATGTGACAGACCCAAAATATAAACACACAGCTCCCAATAATGTAATGTTTTCTTGGTTGTGGGATTCTGACAACCAACTTGCAGGATTTATTTCTATGTGGTCAAGTTTCTGTATGATCACGTGTGATATAAACATTCGGTGTTAAATGCTAAGCAAATTAAGAAGCAAATTATTTTTAAAGGTGTTATATTTTCTAGATTTAGGGGCAATTAGTATGTTTAGATATGCTAAGAGTTAGTTTGGTTTCTTAAATAAGCATCTTTGAGAACAGACAGAGAACAAAATGTAAATCTTATAAGACAGAAGAAATGGTTCACAACTGAATCAGAACTTGCCATGTGTTTCGATAGTCTAGGTTACTAGGAAGGAAATTCAATATACGTGAGTCTTTGTTTTATTCTGTAGCTTTTAAAACATGTTTTAAAATAAGCATTTTAAATTAGAAGATTTTCAACTTTACAGAAACATGCAAAATTAATGCAGAGTGCTCCCATAAACCATACACCGTTTCCTCTATTCATAGCATCTTCTGGTATACTTGTCAGAGTGAATAGACTGATACTGATAGACTGTGATTCACCAAAGCCAATTCTTTATTCAGAGTCCCTCGTTTCTCCCTAGAGTCTTTTTTCTATTTCAAAACCTCATTTAAGACCCCACATTACATTTTGTCTTTTTGTCTCTTAAGGCTCCTCCTGGCTGGGCAGTCTCTCTGACCTCCCTTGTTTTGAGGACCTTGACAGCTTTGAGAACTGGTGTTTTGTAGAATGGCTCCTCAGTTGAGATTGCACTGGTGTTTCTCATGAGTAGACCAGGGTTGTGAGTTCCTGGGCTCTGTATTCTGTTCCCAGACATGTACGTCTTCTGTTTTGCCAGTTCCATGGGGTCTCGATCCCTGTGGTTCCACAGGAAGTTTTGAAGCTTGGTAGCGTCAATCCTCTGAATTTGTTCTTCTTCTTCCAGCCCTTTTTGTTTGTACCATTCAGTTTGTCGACATTTACAAACCAGCTTGCTGGCATTCTCATTGGGGATGGATAGAGTCTGTAGATCACACTGAGGAGAATTCACAACTTAGTCTTCACAATCCGTGAACACAGACTGTCTCTCAGTGAACTTAGATCTTTGATTTCCTTTATCAGACTTTTGTAGTTTCCCACAATTAGATCTGCACATGTTTAAACAGACATATAAATATTTTCTCCTTTTGTTCTATTGTAAATGACATAAATATATTTTTAACTCCAATGCTCACTGCTGGCACATAGGCAAACACTCTGCTTCTATGTGGTAAATTCGTGCCTGGTGATCTCAATGTGTCCGTTAATAGTTCCAAGGGTTTTTTGAAGAGTGTTCGGGATTTTCAGCATGGCTAGTCTTGTCAGCAGCAAATAGAAATGATTTACTTTCTTCCCTTCTAGTCTGTACGTTTTTTCCTCTCATCAGCTCTCCTCTCCTCTCCTCTTTTCCCTGTTTTGTATTCACCAGGATCCCCAGTACCATGTTGACTAGAAGCGCCTATAGAAGACATCATGCACTGTTCTTGGTCTTGTTGGGAAAATGTTCACTTCTCACTCAAAATACTAGCTCTACATTTTTTGAAGCATTGAGACCTTTATTGTCATATAATGCCTCCCTTTATTTATTTTAATCTTTCTTGTTCCGAAGTCTGACTTACCTGAAATTAATATAGGCTTTCTCCAAGTTTCCTTGATGAGTATTTTCATGGTATATGTCCCTTCTTCTCTTTAATTCACCTGAGCCTACATTTTCCATGGTTTTCTCAGCATTGAGTTGAATCTTGGGGGCTGTTCTTTACTCCTATACTATGTGTACAATGTTTATGTATATGAATACCTATAAATATTTATACTTATTTAAACCTTATCTAATACATGTAAGTTTTGTTATTATTACAAAATAAAGGAGAAGGAAAGTATAATTTGGAGAAAGAAAATTGGTCCGCAGCACATAGATAATCCAAGATACAAATTTATCAGTCTCACCCTTGAATTTACTTTTCTTTCACTAAAATATTATGCTTTACACACAGCTATATTTTTCTTTTACAGATTCATTTAAAAATAAAAATGAATTTAAATAATGAAAATGTTACCTTTCCCACTGACGTTTTACATTGAATCCAGAAGGTAAAGCTTGAGTTATTTTATTTTACTGCATTTCTCAAATAAAAGCATTAACAACCTTATGATATAATTACAAATCACACCTATAAGTCCTCATTGATGGAACCACAAAGGGAATGTTTGAATTAATAACCCATGGTTAGTATTTAAAAGAGAAACTATTTAAGATTCAAGCTCGATGATAAAGCGAGTCTGTTTCAGTGAAAGTTCTAAGAGAAAATTATGAGCCCAAACTCCTAAGGAGATTATGCTGGTACAGATTGGAGCATAAATGCTTCAGAAGACAGATGATGAATATCCTTTAAAGTATGTGAATCTTTAAATGCTAGCTGCAAGAATAAGGCTGCATTGAATTTTTATGATATGCTATGGTTACTGGATAAAAGAAAGCACAGAATCAATATTTCCACACAATATCCAGTAATTATTGTAGTTTCTTGTTAGAGTTTGATAATTAACTAAATATAAGTGCTTTTTCTTTCTAAGTCATTTGGAAAAATTATTTTAAAAACCCTATGTTGATATTGATTTAGATGAATAATATCACACACACAATCCTTTATAGTATGGCATTAGTTTTTTCATTTTTTAAATTAATAGGGACTAAGATGCATACTAATTTGGAGATATTTGGTAGAATACATTTCCTTCCTCCATTGAGATATGATTAATAATTATAATATGTAACATCTAAACCCTGTCTAATGAGCCTGAAAACACTAAGTTAAACAAACATATTAACCTTGCAGCATGAGTTAGAACTAGTGTTCTATGGATCCAAATATTCCCCATGATATATTCAATATAAATGAGATTTCATGCCTGGGCTAAGATGAAGACCTTTCTTTTTCTTTTTTGTCTCTTTCAACTGGGGCTACCAATGCACATTCAGTTTTTTTTTGTTTGTTTAACATAAACTATTTTATTCTGAGAAGCAGACTAGAACAATTTATGGTAGACCATCTCTGGCCGAGGGCCATTTTGACCATTGAACTGCTAGGGCCGTTCAGAAAGAAAATTGGAAAATGGAGGTTTTAAAGCTCCTGTCAGTCTTGGTCTAGAACTATTCTCAGCCAAAGCTCATTCACAATCTTTTAAACAGTTTCCTTCTTGGGGTGGTATTGTCCTTTATGACTCTCAAAGAAATTTGTAAATAATTCTATTTGGCATGAAGACAGCGGCCTCACAGGATAATCACTTTTCATTTCCCTATCTCTACCAGCTCAGGGAAGAGCCAGCTGGAGAAGGAACTGGATTGCAGCCAGGCCAACCACTGCTGCATTTAATCTCTCCAGTGTTTATAGAATGTGAATTGTGTCTGAATCCTGATCACTCTCAAGTCGCTAGCTTTTTGTTCTGAAGTGCCTTAGAGTTTAAATACTGATGAGATATGTATGCTTATCTGTATTCAGGACTTAGTTATTCTTTTTGACTTTTGCAACTATGAAGAATGCAGAAAATCAAACCACTTTTTTTCCCCCAGAAATATCTATGTTCTTATGATACTAACACATTTAAAAAATTCTAGCTTATTATAACATAGTACATGTGGTGAGGTCTCAGGGACTCCAGCAGGATAGATGAACTAAAAGTGCAGTTTTGACCAGTGCCAGCAGGGAGAAATTTCTCTAAACAAACACAGGCACTCATCTTTCCGCGGTGATACAACTTTCCAATGGAACTGATGGCAAATGAACTGTAGGCAAAATGCAGAACAGAATTAGGAAGAGAGAAATGACAACAGTGGAAATCCTACTTATAACCTGTCTATATCCTACTTAATTTAATCCAAGAGAGGAAGGCAGAGCTAACGCAAGCATGATCTTATCCCATTTTGTATTTAAAGATGTCAGTGTGTTGACCCAGCATCACATTTGAGTCTCTGTCACAGCCTGTTACACTGCACCAGCTGCCATCAAAGTTTGCTCTGTGAACCTGTCATGTTTCAAACAGCCTATCTCCCTTTCACAGCACCTTGCTGTTGTCTCCATTGTTGTTGTTGTTCAGTCACTAAGTCATGTCTGACTCCTTGCGATCCCATGGACTGCAGCACACCAGGAAGCATCAGTTCTTCCAATGAATATTCAGGGTTGATTTCCTTTAGGATGGACTGGTTGGATCTCCTTGCAGTCCAGGAGACTCTCAAGAGTCTTCTCCAGCACCACAGTTCAAAAACATCAATTCTTCGGCGTTCAGCATTCTTTATGGCCCAGCTCTCACATCCGTACATGACTGCTCCATTTAACCACATTTTACGCATTTTCATTTTTTACTCAAGTTGTTAATTTGGAATTTTCTCACCAGAAGAAAAGCATATTTACTTTGTTGTTAAAACCTTAGGGCAAATTGGATTGTTAGTTCTTGTGGCCAATAGATAGAGAGCATTAAAAAAAACACATGGCTGATTTAGGGAATTTTCATGACTATGGCACCTGTTATAGAGATATTTTTAGGCATGGGTCCTTCCTAATGGCCCTGTGACCATACTCTCTATAACGAGGTGTGTTCATTACACGTATAATCATCACCCAGCTGACAGCTTCAGAGTACTCTGTGTGTAAGACCCTATCTTCAGAATAACAGATAGCATAACCATTTGAACTAAAAGAAAATTAAATCAATAAACATTTTACATGGAAAACAGGCAGTTCAGCACTTAATTTGAATGTGCGAAGCACTCAACCCAGAGGGAAAATGTTAAGTACATTTTTAAAAAGCAGCCACAGTGTCATCAGAAGAACAAGCAATTCCACGCTACTAAGTGCAATCAAATCGAACTTGAGAACACACGCCAATATGGTGTCAGACTCGAAGGCTGGTTTATTAGATTCTCCAGGCTGGTCTCCACTTAAGGGCAAGTGGGTATGGCTCTGCTTGTTCCACTACTATAGACTCTGTCATTTCTTTTTTTTTTTTAATTGGAGGGAAACTGCTTTACAATGCTTTATTGGTTCCTGCCATACAACAACGCAAATCAACCGTGATTCTGCCCTCCCTCCCCTCCCCCATGCCACTCTTCTGAGGACCACAGACCTGCAGAGGGGTGGTCTCCTCCTGGGGTGGGCTGTTCCATCTGACTGCCCAGGACCCTCGTGAGCCCCCATTTCCATGTACTGCCCTTTGGCACATGGGGTCAAGGAATGGAAGATGCTATCTCTGCATCCTTCAGCTCCTGAGTTGGTGGTTAGAGGCCACCAGTGAGGAAGTTGGCAGGAGGTCACCACAATGAGATGGAACCAGAAGCCACACTGCTTCTCTTTCAAAGGCCTGAGCACAGAGGACGAGAGTCAGCAGACAGGAACATGAGGAGCTAGCTCAGGTTTCTTGCTCTGTCTGCTGTCTCCTGACTCCACAAGTGAGCAGCCAACACAACAAGGTGGTGCTTTCCATTCCTTCTGTGTCCCCATCTCTCCTATTGGTTTGTGGTCACCACGTTTTGTGTGTTATAGTCCCCCCTGCTCAAAATCTCCAATGATTTACTCTCCTGGACACAACCAGAGCCCTAGACTCATTGACTTTGAACCCTTGGAATGACCGTTGTTGATGGCTGACTTTCATCTACTCATTGAAATTTTCTCATTTGAATTAATGCTAAACATCCTTATTTTTCAGTAAAGCTCTCATTGCTGGATAAAGGTTGTTAAAATCCACAGAGTGAGCAGTAGATGAAATTCATTTCAATGTAACTGAGAAACATAGTAAAGGTAAATAAAGGTTCATGGACCTCACACAAATCCACTCAGAGTCTCATTTTACCCAACAAGTAATAGGGTAGTATTGTCCATAGGGGAGTATTTGTGATATTATTCCACCCCTACATTTCTCACTTTGCTTTCCTTAGGTGATCATCCATAAAAGGCACCAATTCAGTGATGAGAAGGCACCATGAGATGGTGG